AAATTAGTTTTGCTTCTTGCATCCTTTATCAGGAATAGTCCTGAATAGTGCATGCCCCTGGCAACTGGGGGGGCACAGCTGCGCTGGTAGCAGTGGGAGCGTGGCGGCAGTGAGCAGGGAGCTTCCACAGACGCTGCTGGCACTGTCGGCAGTGGGGGAGGGCAAACGCCAACCAGGAGTTGGCAACCAACTGCAGGTGAGTGCACCACCACACTCAGGGGGTACACATGCACCTGCATGCACCCCCTACGTGTCACCCGTGGGAATGGTGAGAAAAAGCAACTAGAGGCCAAAATTCATAACAAGGGGAAGAAAACAGTTTAAGAGAATCTGAATGAAATGATTCAATTTGATTAAGTCAGGGCTGGCATACAAAAAATGTATTCTAAGATTTGTTAGGGTCTGGACATAATAATTTATCTTGTAGGGGTGGGGATTTACTGCAGGCCAACTGCTCTCCAGTAACTGTCTGTGCATGTATTCTTCCCTCACTGTAGCTGAGAGCTAAATAAAGTACCTTAGCTTCTTTGGCAATTGGAAGTGGATGTGGGGAAAAGTATTCCCTAAGGAAGCTGGGGAATAAAGATTTGGGCTCAGAATGTCTGACACAGCAAGGAGACATCACCCTTAGCCTTTTTACAAAGGGAAGGAAATGCTATCCCAGATATGTTCTGGGGATCAACTGTGGAAAGGTAGAAGGCTAATGGCACCACTCCACCATGTGGAAATGATTAGGGATACAATCATGACTTACTCTGTAGGACTTATTGCCAATAAATCCCAGATGAATCAAGTTAATAAAGGTGTGGCCTAATTAAACCAGGTCCCATGCATCTTGTTTATCTTCCTGCATGTCTAGTACAAGCTTCAGCTGCTGTTCAGTTTCTTGACCTCACATTTGGCTTAAAGGCGAATATTCCAGTAAACTCCTCAGAGTGGAAGAGAAACTAATAGCCTGCTAATAAAATGATCTTAAACCCTAATGACTACAAGGGACCATAGACAATTATGGTGTTTTGACTAAGGCTTTTCTGAACAGTACAGTCATTTCCATGTTTCCTGTGTGTATGTGCTATGTAACTGGAAAAGTGATAATGTTGAGCTTATGATGTTGAGTTTATATTGCTGATGCCTTTAATAAAAGCAAGGCTTATTTCCTGGGATACCATGTTTAGGACCTGGAATGGCTTTCTCTTCGTGTTTTTTGCCTTCAGGTCTCCTAATTGTTGCTTCCTGATTGCCTTATATACAATTGTACTGGATACTGATGTGGTGCCCATCATAGTGCTGTATGTCTCCCATGTCCTTGTTATGGGATAAAACTGGTGCCAATTTGAGAATAGCTATGAAAGGGTTAACACTGAACTATGCCCCTTTTTGCTTCCTGGAAGAGAAAGAGAACTTAGCAGCAATCTTAAAACACAGTATCCTTCTGTGCCTTGATGCAGTGAAGTTCTGGTGAAGATCAGCTTCTCCACTTAAGATGCACCCTCCAATTTTGGAGGAAAAGGGTGCATGTCATATACCCCAACTCTAGTATTGTTGTATACACACATGCTCTCACTCTCTCATATACAAATAATTGTTTAATAACTGTAGTTATGTAAATTATTTTAGTAAAGTTGAAGCATTTTGAAATTTGTTTTGATCCTCAGGAAAGAAGTCTTTGGTGAGATAAAGCATGTGGTTATGTAAAGAGGAATGTAGGTAATGATGCACTCTATGAAAGCAGTAGGATTTGCTTCTGTGCTCACTATGAAACATACATCAAGCAGAATGGAATAAAGAGGTGGTTGTGTTAGCTGTCTGAAGTCCAGGAAGTGTAGCATCTCTGAGAGACTGTAAGTGCTTCAGAGAGACATATGCTTTTGTAAGTGACAGCCTACTTTGTCAGAGGCTATGAATAGATTGCAGAAAGCAGGGGTTCTAAATAGAAAGAATCCAGATATAAAGGATAAAGGGAGAGGGCACTGCTGAAAGAGGTAAACATGAGTTGAATAAGTCAAACAAAGGATAAACAAAGTAAATAATCCATTGAGGGACAGGATAAGAATCCACAATCATTTGTGGCCACATTTAACACATTCCAGTTTGTGGATGATATTTTGTTCCACAGTTTCATGTTCAAGTCAGTTTTTAAAGTTTTGTTTAAGAATGGCAACTCTGAGAGGTAGTTAGCCAAGTTATTCTAAAGTCAGGCAGAAGGCAGGGCAGTGTGGCGTCATAGAACTACCTTGAATCAGTGATAGACTGTCCAGGGAGTTTTAAGTGTTTTGCCACAGGCTTTTTTGTATTTCTGGGACTGATGTCAGATTAGTGTCCATTCATTCTTTCACGTATGGATTCTTTCATCTATCAAATGTAAATAGCAGAGGGGCACTGTAATCAGATGGAAAAAGTATTGATAAGGCTTACACCAGTTCATTTGTCATCTAAAAACTATATTATGTTACTGATTCCTGTGAAGCAAATGGTAATACTTAAATCCTGCAAAATTGTTGAATAATAACTAATCAGGATCCTAGTGGTGCATAGGTGATTAGCAATGAAATTGACATAGCCTATCAGCCTTCTGCAGGTAAGGGTAATATTCATAGCTGTGTTTAAAATTAGAGAATCAGGTGAAAAGGAAGACAGTTTACAGTATCTGTGTATTATGATAATTTGGGGGGGGTTGTTATGTAAAATCAGAAATATACAGTAAATTCCCTTCTGAGGCTTCTTCCCTCTGTGTGGAGAGGCATCCAAAAACAAAAAAACAAAAACCAAATGAAATGTCTTAGCTGCAAATCTTGTTGTGAGGATGGCTTGGTTGTCCTCACCAACTAAATCCAAAGGGGTTCAAAATACATCCAGTGATCTTGGGTCAGTTGTGTGAGAAGTTGGATTTCCCTTACTGGATTTATCCATATTATATCAAAGAGTTTCAGAAATACAGGATTGGAAAGGACCCCAAGAAGTCACCTGGGGCTTGTCTACCCTGATGCTATGGGGGTGACTCAGCTGGGACTCGAACTCCCTACTCCCCAGCTCCCACAAGCATATTTTAATCCTGGAAATATGCTAATGAAGCCCTGTGGGGGAGGCAGGAGGGAGTCCTTCTGTGGTTGCTCTCAGTCTCATGCATGCTCATGAGTGGCTGCTGGTGTTGATGCCAGAATAAATTCAACAGCATATTTTTGGGTTTGGAGTAAGTCTGGGCATGGATGAGTTGCTGCACTTACAGCAGGAAATGCTGCCATCACAGTGTCCTCAATCTGCTCCCACTTCACTGAGGCATTATTTGTATCTCTAGACCAGTCATGCTCAATTTTCTGGCCCCATGAGCCAGATGGGTAGTGTGGAGTCAGTCTGCTGGCTGGCTGGGGCACTGCATGCCAGAATCGGACCCTGGGGCCTCATGCTGCTCTCACTCAACCCTACATGCTGGGATTAGGCCCAGGACCCCACACAATGCCACCCCTGCCTGCTGGAATTGGGCCCTGGGACCCTATGCTACCCCTGCCCACTGTGATTAGGCTTCACCTATCAGGAGCAAGTCCTGGGCCCTATTGTCACCCCTGCCTAGTCCTGTGCTCTGGGAATTGGCTCAGTGCCATCCTGCACACCTGGTCTATTGTATAGGACCATACTATTCAGCCCATGGGGATCCCCATGGGTCTGGAATTTTGGCAGGAGGGGAACAGTACTACTGCACCCATGCTATCAAATGTTCAAGCCCAGAGAGAGCCCTGCAGGCTGGATGACCCAGTGCCAGTGGTTGAATCTGGCCCGCAGGCTGGGGATTGAGTACCCCTACTCTAGACTCTCCCCGGAAATTGCTTGACTACCATGTTCTAAAAAACATAATATTCCTCTAAGAAGGAGATTCCTCCTTATATAGTCTGTTCTAGGGCCCTGAAGGACCTTTTCCTGTTGCCTTTTATCTAATTAATAAATTAAGTCCCATCTCATTTATAAATGAAGCGACTGTGGCATTGATGCCTACACAGTTGGATGGGTAAAAAACTGGCTGATGGGGTGCACCCAGAGAGTAGTGGTGGACGGGTCGTACTCAACCTGGTGAGATGTGAGCAGTGGGGTCCCCCAGGGCTCGGTTCTCGGGCCTGCACTGTTTAACATCTTCAACAGCGACTTGGACCAGGGGGTTGAAAGCACATTGTCCAAGTTTGCTGATGACACTAAGATGTGGGGCAAGGTGGGCACACTTGAAGGGAGAGAGAGACTGTAACTAGATTTAGACAGACTACAAAAGCGGGCAGATGAGAACAGGATGGGGTTCAATGTAGATAAATGCAGGGTGCTGCACCTTGGGAGAAGGAATCCACAGCATACATAAAGGCTGGGGAGTTCCCTTGAAAGCAAAGAGGCGGAACAGGATCTTGGAGTCATTATTGACTCCAAGATGAACATGAGCCACCAATGCCAGACCACAGCCAGC